GGAGGTTGCTGCTGGCGTTCGTTCTCTCCCGCACATGCCTGCTGTCCTCACTCACGTGTACTCCTACCATGGGATGTCACCCGCCATCTTACGATGCAGCAGGAGACCCTTGCCAGATGTGGCCACTTGCTCCTGGACTTTCCAGCTCCAGAACTGTGAGCCAAATAAAGCTCTCTTCTTCATAAACTACCCAGTCTTGGATATTCCATTACAGCAACAGAAAACAGAATTTGAAATATTGATAGATAGAAAGATAGACAGATAGATAAATAGATAGATATAGATAGATATAGACACACACACACACACACACACACACACACACACACACACACACACACACACACACCAGACTTTATATAGACTTCTGTAGTTGGATGGTTCATCATGTTTACACATCCTATATTCTTAATGACTGTTAGCTGCTAAAACATTCTAGTACATATCTTCTGACACACATATTGACTTGTTTCTGTTAAGTATTTACTAGGAGTGAGCCTGCTGGGTCAGAGGCCTGCCATATATTCAGCTTTAGTTAAAACTGTGAAATAGTTTCAAATGATGGCACTAATTTATACTCTTATCAGCGATGAATGAGAGTTCTGACTGCCTCACATCTTCGTTAATATTTGCTATTGTTAGTCTCTAATTTTAGATATTCTGGCAAGCATAAGTAATACTGAATTGTGGTTTTAATTTGAATTCCTATGTCTTAAAATTGATTTCTACCTTTATTCTCCTATGGTTAGATAGCCTGTTCTGTGTGATTTCAGTCATTAAAAGTTTGTTGATATATATGTGGCCCAGTGTTTGATCTATTTTGGCAAATGTTCCATGATAAGAATATGATAAGAGTGCAGCTGGGCACATATCCAATAAATGCCAATTAGGTTTATTTTGTTTTTTGTTTTGTTCAAGCTTCCTATGTTCTTAATAATTTTTGCCTCATTCTATCAGTTGCTGAGATTTTTAATGTGTGTGTGTGTGTGTGTGTGTGTGTGTGTATACACAATTGACTAAAATTGAGGATTTTAATTTTTCATTCAGTTCTGTCAATTTTTTGCTTGGTATATTTTGAGGCTATGTTATTAGACATAGAAATTTAAAATTAGTATGTCTTCCTGGTGAATTTAACCTTTGATCATTATTGAATGTTCTTTGTTTCTAGTAATGCTTACTTTAAAATCTGCTTTGTTTGATATCAATATAGCTTTACTTGATTTCAATTAGTGTTTCCATTTGTGGCAGCTTGTATATTCCAAAAATGACCACAATGTTTCTCATGTTACTTGCTCTCTTTACAATATCATCCTGATTCTCCTCTGATGGAGTGATGGAATCTATGTTGCCTCACCTTGAAACTTAGTGAAACTTTGTGACAGCAGTATCTAGTAGAAGTGACACTGTGTGACTTCTGAAGCTGGATCATGAAAATTAATATGAATATACTTCTGTATTATTCTCTTGGATACAATTCTTGAAATGTAGCTACCGTGCTTTGAGAAAACACAAACTGGCCCACATAGAGAGACTATCTTAGGTATTCTGGTCAAGAATCCAGAAGAATCACAATATGAACTGTCAAACATGTGAAGATGCCTCTAGGAGTCACCTTCAGCTTCAAAATCATCTTCAATTTTCAAATATTTCCAGCTGGGGCCTCAGACATCTGGAGCAAAGACCAGCTAGTCCCATTATGTCTTGTCCAAGTTCCTGATTACGACTATAATAAAATGGTTGTTTTATGTCACTAAATTTTGAAATTATGCAACTGAAACAGCATAGTATAAGTTTTCTATTCTTTGTTAACTTTTTATATCCTTGTTTTTTTGTTTTGTTTTGTTTTGTTTTGAGTGGGAGTCTCACTCTGTTGTCTAGGCTGGAGTACTGCGGCAGGCTCACAGCCACCTCAGCCTTGACTTGCTGGGCTCAGGTGATCCTTCTGCCTCAGCCTTCTGAGTAGCTGGAACTACAAGCATGTGCCCCCATGCCCAGCTAGCTTTTTGATTTATTGTAGAGACGAGGTCTCACCAAGTTGTCCAGGCTGGTCTCGAACCCCTGGCCTCAGGTAATCTTCTCTCCTCGGCTTCCCAAAGTGCTGGAATTACAGGCTTGAGTATCCTTATTTTTAAGGTATGTCTTTTGCAAACAGCATGTAGGCTTTTTAAAAAATTGAATCTGACAATCTTTGTCTTTTATTTGAAATATTTACTCTACTTACATTTAATGTAATTGCATATATATTTGGGCTTAAATCTGCCATCCTAAGGTTTTCTTATTATTTCTTATGTGATCTCTGTATTCTTTTACTCTTCTTTCTTTTCTTCTTTTGGACTGGCTATATTTTATTATTTCATACTTTCCTCATTAGCTTGTTAGCTATACATTCTATTGCAAGACTTTCTAACAATTACACTAGAAATTACAACATGCATCATGGACTTCCCACTCAAATTTACACTTTCAGATAACCTCTCAAGAAAATTGTCATTAAGCTGAGATAAGGAAACAAAGAAATGTAATTGATTGAAAGTTATACCTAAGGAAGAACTTTGAGTGTGGTTACTAACACATGGAATTGTCTGGTATACACAGACCAAAAGTGTTTTGAGTTTTTGAAGGGATCATATTTTCAAAGAAACCATGAGCTTTAAAAAGCCTTTGGGTGTTATAAATAACACTTGGGTCCCCAAGTTTCCATGAGCAGGACAGAGTCTACAAAAACTACACAACCTTCAAGGGAGACATGTCTCCAACCCCATTTCAGATGTGACTATGGGAGATAGCAGATAAGGAAGAATACTCAGAAGGTAGAGATAGAGACTAAAGAGAACAACAGACAAGGGTGTTTCAGAGAGCCAAATCAAGGTCAAATCTAGGCGGTTCCCCACACCTGGGGTAAGCACGCTCATTCATTATATAACTCCACTCCTCCTTTTATAAAATTGGAGCTTTGTGGGCAGTTCTCCTGATTAGACCACATGGTGCTGCATTCAGACCTGGGGGGGGGGTAGAATGCCTACCCACAGAGACCTTGGCCTTTGAACTATACATGCAGCAGCTGGTAAGTGGGATTTAGGGTGGTCTCACTTGGGAGGCAGTAAACACGTTCTATGAGGGGGAAGAAAGGTAACGTGGATTGACTGACTAGAGGGCTACACTGTGGCTGAGACTGCTGTGCATCAACAAACACATTTTTCTAGGTTCATGGACCTTATTTCCTATCCTTCCTTGCAAGGAGACTTACTGAGTTCCAGTCAATAAAATATGGGTGGAAATGAAGAAGGTATCCCATAAAGATCTGAGAAATTCTCCATGCTTTTCTCCATTTTACCTTGATACTGATGATACTCGATTTTATTTTATTTTACTTTATTTGAGTCACAGTCTCACTCTACTACCTAGGGTGGAGTGCAGTGGCGTGACTATGGCTTACTGTAGCCTTGAACTCCAGGGCTCAAGTTATTCTCCTGTCTCGGCCTCCTGAGTAGCTGGGACTTACAAGCATGTCCCACCATGCCTGGCAAATTTTTTAATTTTTTTTTTTTTTTTTTTGCGAGACAAGATCCCCCTATGTTGCCAAGGCTGGTCTCCAACTCCTGGCCTCAAGTGATCTTCCTTCCTTAGCATCCCAAAGTGCTAGGATTACAGACATGAGCCACCATGCCCAAACCCAGAGTGACTTTAGAAGTCATACTTTAAAATGGTGCATCCACAAGATAGAAAGAGCCTCAGTTCCTGAATCACTCCTCAGGTACCTGTTTTGGAACTTATTTGAGCGAGAAAGAAATGCCGTTTTGATATAACAGCTAACATTACACTAAACAATACACAAAACAATCACCTGCCTCAACCACACACAAAGCTACCTCTGCCTTATCTGGGAGTATAGAAGAGGGGAGAGATATATTTGAAATTTCTCAATCCTGACAGTTTTCTAAGTAGGCACATAATGCTGAATTTTAAAGGAGAAAACTCTGAGTTCCACTTGGGCAAGTGCTCCTGCCAATGGGTAGTGAACACCTGCCCTTGCTCCCATCTTAATTCCGTGGGGAAGCCTCTTGAACCCCAAGAAGCAGGAGCCAGCAAGACCCCCGGAGAACAGAGAAAAAGTGAAGTTAAGCAAAATCATACATACTTAGAGGTAAGGTTACCTTAAGATACTTTAGTTGGGTCTTTCCTTCCCTTTTCACAGACAAGGAGACACAGGCTCAATCAATTATTTTTTCCATCGATTTGGTGACAGAGTTATGATTAGAAGTAGATCTCCTGCATATTTTTGGCAGAAGATAATGTACAGGTACACACAACACTGTTTTAGCAGGCAATTAAGCATGACATCTCTTTTGTGCCTCATGGTTTGTCTTAGAAATTCATGCAAATTTATCACTCTATGTCATAATATATCCTCAAGGATTTCAATGTAAAAGGAAGTTTTAAATTACTTGCCACAAAGTGGGAAGACTCTCCAGGAAGTTGTGTCACGTTTCTCTACCCCTCCCCCTCACCCTATCACCTGCCCCAGGCATTTCCATCTCCCAGGTTGAAAGACATGGCTTGATCATGGATAAAAAATTATTTTAGTGCTAGGGACTGTTCTATGGGCCTTTTGCTCTCCTGATCCCTGCTCTTACAGTCCATGCCTGTGCCCCCCATATCCATCTCTGATACTAGTGAATCAAGTACACCCTGTAGGAAGACCTGTCCCTCTCCTACTCATCCTTGGAGTGTCAGGCCCAGTCTCCTCCAGGTAGCCTCCTGTGATCCCTCTGAGCCCAAGTTGTTCCCTTCCCTCGTGGCTAACCCACCACATACCAGACCCCAGACATACTACCATGCCACATTGCCATCAGGCTGTTTGCCTCTTCCAGAAAGTACAACCTATACAAGTACTCAATAATGTTTGTTGAAAGCGTGAACTTCAGTGGGGCTCCCAGCTCGTCCTGCTTCCCATCCCTGCCCTGCCATGGCTTAAGGGCTGTGGAGAGCAGCGCACTTACTGGCTGGGGGAGGGGCTTCGGAGGTAGCGGGCCTGTACTGCCCGCACGCTGGCTTCATCCTCCTCACTTGGGACTACTTGCTCCTCCTCTGGGTCCCCACTGGTCGCCATGGCAGTCTGTAAGACTTGGAGGAAAAAGGCAGTTAGGGGATTGGGCTTCAGAGGTTTTGTGGGGGCTTGGGGGTGTGCCAATGATGTCACCTTAGTGGAACTAGGAATGAGATGGACACTACATGCTAAGACCTTGATGGGCAAAGGACCCAAAAGGAAGGCCCAGTCAGACCCGGCCCAGTGACTGTTACCAGGGCCCCAAGAAGCGCACCCTGGTTGTGTTAACAGCCCACCTCAGAGTCACAATATTTAAGAAGTGACAACTTGACTCCTTCTGCAGATGCCAGCAAGGAAGTTGTCAGGGGAACCAGAAGTCTGCCCTAACTCTAGCTAAAGAGGTTGAAAAACAAAGAATTCTCCACTAGGAAGATTTTCCTATAGAAATGACAGGGTGCACAAATGCATACACCCCCCACCTGCATTCATGCGTGCCCCTTTGTCTCTGCTGAGAGAGGGGCTACTGCCTTCTTCAGTAGCTCTAACTAAGGCCACAAGAGTCAGGGCCTCTGGCTCAAGAGCCATCCCACAGCCTGTTACAGGACATTAAATCCCCGGCAGCTGGTCCCAGACGTCATGGTAGGGGCCCTGAAACTCAGGGCAGAGGTGTCGCCCCTTAGATTCTAAGTCCCAGGTCAACACGACACATGAGGGAGAAACATACTCACTGTGACCTGCCTGTATGTCCACACCAAGGGCTGAGGGACCCAGATGAAATGACCAGAAGCTCCGGCTGGTGAGGGGGCCACCCTCCTCTTCAGTGCTGCTCCTCCTATGGACAGGACAGCTGTTAACAGGAAACCTTAGACACCCTCTAAATTTAGCCTCTGGCCCATAGGCTGGCAGATCTCTGAGAGAAAGGAATGCAGGCTTAGGACCTAGGCCCAAAAGCAGGCCTCACTTAACTCTTTCCCTCCTGGCTGACTCTCCAGATACACATTTAGAAGCAAAACTGGAAAAAACTCATTCTTGGTAGATGGAGAGGCCTAGAGAAGAGATTTTCTCTGGGCCCTTTCTCCACACCCTCCTGCCTGGGACTGCCTATTCAGAGTCCTTTCAGAAAACAGTTTAAATCCAGGATCTTGAAGAATAAACAAACTTTCCTTAGCCCCATGTCAGCTTGGAGAAGCCTAGAGAAAAATATCAGATATACAGAATGGGAAGAGTCCTCTGATAGATATTGAAGAGCACATGATACAATGAGAGCAGTCATTGCTTGTGACCAGGATTACATTTCTTTTAGCAGAGACATCTCTGGACAGTCAAGTGGACAGTTGTGCTCAGCTCCACATTCCCTCCCCCTCACTCACACCCCACTGTGATGGCAACCTTGGGTGATATAAAATCTCTGGGGGCTTCATAAACTTCAAATAAGCTCAAGCCTACCCTCTCCTACTATACCCATCGCTATGATCAAAGCAAAGCCCAATAACCCAATAGACCACAACTCTCATCCCATACACTCTGCAATCTCCCCTTCTTTCATTTGTCAGTCTACCCATTTGTCTATCCACTTACAAATATTTACTGATTACCTGAAACAGATCAGGCATCATACTCGACCAGAGTTAGTAAGACACATGGCTTAACATTGTCCTTCTTCCTGGCTGGATGAAACAATGCCTGGCACATAGTTTCAGTGGAAATTGGCTGAATGAATGAGCTCACCATTTATTAGGAGGAATGAGACTCAGACCAAAAATAACTCTAGCATAAGACAGAACATAGTTAGTGTTCTAAAAGAGTGCTGTATGGTTCAGAGTGGGGAGAGAGCCCTTCTTACTAAAGAAGTCAGGAAAGCCTTCATGGAAGCAGGGGTGACATATGAGCTGGCATTTAAAGTATAAGTTAGATTATAACAGCAGATACAGTAGGAGAAAGGAATTCCAGACAGGATGGCATGGACAAAGTATTAGGGAAGGAAAGCATGAGTTCTGGGTGTAGAAAGATGGCTAACTTGGTCATAACATAAGCTCCATATTCTGGAAGATAATTTTGGGGAGGTAGATTGTTTGAGAACAAATGCTTGGACACTTTAATGGTCAACTTAAGGAGCTGGATTTCATTGGATAGGTCTTTAGGGGCAGTGACAGGATCTGAGCAGACACATGACATCATCAGGGTTGCATGTTAAAAAGACTAATTAGGCAATGGTATTATAAATTCTGAGGCTGAAAAATTATTACATACTATAAGAGAGTTCAATAAGATGCCTAAGTGAAACAAACAGAAAACAACAATTTTTGTATGTCAATTAAACCTGAGAGTCACAAAGGATTGATAAAATAATTTATATAGGAAATTCTGAATTCGTAATACAAAGAAATATTGAGGAAAATATTTGCAATACTTATCACAACCAAAAGTTAGTTTCCCTCACATACAAAGAACTACTAGAAATCAACAGACTACAAATTGGGAAAAAATATTTGCCAACTCCATGTCTGACAAAGGCCTAACATCAAGGATCTACAAGGAACTCAAACATGCTGAAAAGAAAAAAATAAACAACCCCATTACAAAGTGGGCAAAAGATATGAATAGACTCTTCTCAAAAGAAGGCATGCAAGCAGCCAACAGATATATGAAAAAATGTTCAGCCTCACTAGTCATCAAGGAGATGCAAATTAAAACTACACTGAGATACCACCTAACTTCAGTCAGAATGGCCATCATCAATAACTCAAAAAATAACAGGTGCTGAAGAAGATGTGGCGAAAAGGGAACACTTCTACACTGTTGGTGGGAGTATAAACTAGTACAGCCTCTGTGGAAATCAGTGTGGCAATTCCTAAAAATCGACCTTCCATATGACCCCATAATCCCCCCACTGGGAATATACCCAGAAGAACTCAAATCACTCTATGAGAAAGATACCTGCACACATATATTTATCGCAGCATTGTTCACAATAGCAAGATCATGGAACCAACCATGCTGTCCATCAAAAGAGGACTGGATTTAAAAA